AGTTTACCTATGTTGTATTTTACCTTCTTCTGATTGTCCTTGTGATAGAGGTGACTTAAGGTAAGTATTATTCAGAGGAGGTATGTGCACCACTAGGAGAAGCAATGAAGTAAAGAATTTTATTTTTCAATCATGGAATAGGGGTTGCTTGACTCAATGAATTTCATTTTCTAACATCCATATAAAATCATTGTTTATGAGTAAAAAAACTGCGCCAATGATGAAGAGTTTTTACATATACTGGTTAGTCTTCAGATAAGCCATGTAATGATGGTCTCATGTCATATATTGAGGCCACTGGACATACACTGCTTCTAAATTGTGAGCTATTCAGATGAACCATAATGCATTTATAAACATACACGTATGATAATTACTCAGCTTGTTAAGAATACTAGATCAAACTTTAGAAAGTGTGAGTAAGTCTGAATAGTCTTGTGGTCCTGACAATGTACAGCGTTACCTGTTGTAATTTATTGAATATTACTTGTTATATTATTTTGAATATCATCAATCATCTAATTCTGTGATAACATTCATGCAGGATTTCAAAAATAAAAAAATTATATGCAACACAAATTATACTTTCTTATTTCTTAGTTTTTGTATTTTAATCATGTTTAACCATTCAAAATATACATACAGAATATGTTACAGTGAATTGAAACTTCCAGATTATTCTGTTTTGGTAATTGTATTTTGTGTGCAGTGCTTTCTGAACAATGATATTTTGTAGTCATCTGTACTGTCATCTGTCATCTGCCTGGATTAAAGTGTCACAGATAAACATTGTTCCCTTTTCAGATTGAGTCATTATTTTGTATTTTTGGATTTGAAATAAAATAAACTAAAAGCGTATGTGCGTCATGCATTTTTAACAAATTAACACATTGTTAGCATGATCATATATCATCACAGAATCTGTAAGTCATTTGATCATCTGCCCACAGTGAAAACAATCAATAATTCTTTTTTCCCTAGCACACATACATTGGTGAATTACTGCGAAAATTAAGCTTCTCACATGTCATAATATTTATATAAACAATACCCAACAGAAGGCAACCTCTCTTCAAGAATCGAGAGGGGCATGTAAGATGGCAATAACCATGTATCTTCCATGGGATATTATTGTAATATTGGTATTTATCATGTAACCATTGTACATATTATTCACATCCATATAACATTTATAACTGCTCAAACGTCATCGCACGTCGAAAAGCACATTATGCAATGGTAAAATGATTTTACCTAAATTTTATTTTAACTAGATTAATTTGTAACTATGCTAATTTAAGATGTATAAAATGTAAAAGCAGAGTCGGTGATGTGATCCAAAGATTATGCTCTGATATCACTTATCCATTGAAATGGTGTGATATTTTGGCTAGCATTATTCTCAAACCATAAACAAATGATATCAATAATATAATAATAGACAAATCCAACATATGTCAAATGTATTCAAGCCTTTGGACAACACAGTTAGTACTTAACCAAATTCTCTGTCCAAAACCTTGTTTTACATGCTTTAGGCAAGTGCCTGAAATGTACCAAAATGCATGATGATACATTTGATATAGAACCATTGACTGTATTTCAGATATATTTCAATGTCCTCTTTGTATCCACAGATGGTTTATCATAAACTGTTGCATGTGATAGCATTGACTTTGACATTTTTTGCCTCTGCCAAAATCTTCTACTAGTTCCTGCTATTCTCACTGCTATTTTATATAATATGAATGTTTTTTATATTATTTTATTAAGGACAATTTATATAGTTGAATAAAAGTAACTTATATGAGATATTATAATTCTTATTAGTGAAAGAAGAAGAAGTGGCGGCCAAAGAGGATGTTACTGTAGAGGCTGCCGTGGATGAAGATGATGCAAAAGCAAGTGATGGGGAAGAGGAAGAAGATGATGAGAAAGAAGCTGAAAGTGATGAAGAAGGTGATGAAAAGAAAAAAGAAGATACAGAAGGATCAGAGGCAGAAGATGATGACGGTGAGAAGAATGAAAAGGGAGGGGATGAGGAAGAAGAAGAAGAAAAGAAAAAGGAGACGGGCGAAGATGATGAGTTAATGGCTCTCCTTGGAGGAGGAAAAGGAGAATCGGAACAAACAGAAGATGTAGAAGAAAAGACGGAAGAAAAAAGCGAGGAAGATGATTTAATGGCTCTCCTTGGAGGGGGCAAGGAAGGGTCAGAGCAAAAAGAAGAAATAGAAGAAAAGACAGAAGAAAAGAGTGAGGAGGATGATCTAATGGCTCTCCTTGGAGGAGGAAAGGGAGGATCAGAACAACAAGAAGAGGTAGAAGAAAGGATTGAAGAAAAGACTGAGGATGAAGATTTGATGGCTCTTTTAGGTGGAAGTAAAACTAATGATGATGAAGAAGCTGCAGGAGAGGAAGAGGGGGAGGAGGAGGAAAAGGAGGAGGAAAAAGAGGAGGAAGAGGGGGATGGGAAAGAGGAGGAGGAAGAAGAGGGGATTGCAGATAATGAAACAGAGGATAAGGAAGAAGAGGAAATGGCTGATGAGACAGAAGAGAAAAAAGACGAAACGACAGAGGAAGATGATATAATGGCTCTTTTAGGGGGAGGAGCAACTAAAAAAGATGATGAAAAAGAAGAACAGGACAAAAACAAAGAGGAAGTGTCAGTGGAGGAAAATACAGAAGCAAAATCAGAAGATACTGAACCCGAAAAAGTAGAAGAGAAAGAGGAAGATAAAAAAGAGGAAGTGGAAGAAGAGAAGAAGGAGGAAGACGATGATTTAATGGCTCTTTTGGGAGGCAAATCAAAGAAAGACGATGAAGATGAAGATTCTTCTAGAAGTCCATACAGAAGCCCATACAGTCGAAGAAAGTGGGCTGATGATGACGATGATGAAGATTCAGGTATGAGATTCTTGAGGTCAGGAAGTGGAAGAAGAAGAAGACAATTAGATGATGAAGATGAAGATGTCATGGCATTTCTTGGGTAATCAAATATGCGACGAATATTTACAGTTATCCCTGCCAGTTACTAGTCATAAACAGACATATGAACATTGTGCTACGTGATTTATTTAATAATAATACAAAACCAAAAACCATTAGCAATAAGTAAGTAAGTAACTAGCTAATTAATTAATGTGTACATAAACACAAAATTTAACCTAAAATGTTCAGGCCAAACTATAAATATTTAGACTTTTAGGACACAATATTTGCTCTCTAACAAAAAATCACAATGGATTGGTTCTTTTAGAGGGATAGAGCCATTTCTCTTTCTTTTCCTTAGATGGACATCACGTCATTCTTTGTCTCCAAGTGGTATTTTTAATTTTGCTGAGGCTTTATGCTAATTTATCCCCATCCGATGAGAAATGATTGTCTGCCCCTAAACTGACTGGTTCTTCTGCTCACGTGATATGTATGTATATGTAAATAAATTTTATTTTCACTGTGGCACACAAACAGGCTTCCGAGTCTTATTATTTTAACAACCCAACCTCTACATTGTTCCCCGTCACATTCCCATTCGGCAAGTCACTACCACATCTTATGTTCAGCATAATGTTTCCCACAAAAAAACTTACCTTGAAACTGTGTTTTTTAGACGTCTATCGCTGCCCCTCGTTTTTGTTCCAAAGATATGTGTATACTAATCTGCATATTTGCTCTTTAAGCAACTAGAAATGTGATCATAAATTGGATACTACTAAGCAACAATATAATATTAATTCCTAATAATTTTTAATCTTTACCTTGCCAATGATATAACATACAATTACTGTAATGTTTGCAATCATGTATTATTATATCTAATCTATTTACCTTGTAATTTCGGTAATTCAAGACGTAGTCAATACAACAGAAAGTGTATTCTCAAGTGAGATGATTTTCACTTTAGCTAAATTAAGATTCTGTTAATTTATGCATTGAGCGAAATTCAAAATTTCATCTACAGCCTGATATTGCCCATATAGTGTGTATGAGAAAATCTTGATTCTATGTGCAGTAATTAGTGTTTGAGAGGTAGTATAGACGAAATTCATTATGTTTAATATTATTGCATGTTGATAGATGTAATACGTCGTTTATTTAGCTTGCAACATATTTTCTTCAAATAATGTGTGAATGTGTGCATGCTGCCTTTGAACTATTAGTACGTACCAATAATTTAAGTGCATGCGCATTTCCCCTTTTGTTAATTATTTCAACAAACTATTCTGTATCGTTACTGGAGTGTGTAATAAAGGGTTCGATGGTCCCTCGTGTGCCCTGATTAAAGCGGGAGGGTTGTCACCTGCGCAAGTGCGAGAATTGAGTCCCAAGCGACGCTTGTTTGTAAACAATGAAACGCTGTGGCCATCTGACGTATGCGCAGATGACGACTCCGCCGCTTCCAGAGAATGGGTGCTGATGGGAACCAGCGAAGTTATGGTAACGGTAGTTTAATAATTAAATAATGTCACCTGTATTGTCTCCATACTAATAGTGAATAAATGTGGATCGTAAATTATCCATAAAGCGTAGATGGTTTATATTCATGGGTGAAACGTGTACAAAGGGATGACACGTCATACGTTGATACCCTGTCTCATGTGTATGGTTGTACAACGGCACAGCGAATCAACCCGAGTCAAGTATATTTTTTCTAAATTTCGCAGTGAAAAGGGTTATACTTTTCATGTACGGAAAACCAAAAAAATGTACTTTTGAAAAAAATTATAGATTTTAATATTATTGTAGGTTTTACTGAATTTTTTTTGCTTTCTCAGTTAAATGTGTGTGTGATTTTTGGTTTTCTAGAAAATTTTCACAACATTTTCGCTTTGCAGATTGTTTTCCTACAGAATCCACTACCTACCCGTGTGTTTAACCCCTAAACGCAGAGATTATCTGTAAATGTAAAAAATACAATCCCGAATTGTACTTGACTTAAGGGCTACTTTAATAGGAAAAGTGGGAAGATTGCCCAGGGACTATTATTGAATTCTAACAGGCCAAAAAAGTCAATAATACTTTAGGACGAGATTTTGGGCTCAAAAAGTGTTCTATGCTTGTGACAGACTTTAACTGTTGAATGAGGTATTGGTGGATGTAACATTATATCCATTCACAAGACTAGAGACGAAGGACGCATACAAGTATCACAGTGTAAGACTGGGTCTGAGATGAGGGGTTGGGGGTTGGTTTGGTTGTGGCGGCGATCACTCCCATTGAAAAGGTATATTGAAAATGTATGTGTAACGGTTTTGACCTCCGTTTTGGGGTTTGGTCTATCTTTTTGACCTGCGTTTCTAAGATTTGAGAACAGTTAAACAACTTTTTGGTCATAGGGAGGGGGTTATTAAACATCGTCTATAATGTAAGCAAGGTTAGGTGCAACATGGTCTTCTGATCCGGAATATTCCTATCCGGGATTCCGCATCGAGAGTCAATATCAATTTCCCCACACGAACTGCCTCCAATGGTACGGTCGGTGGATTCATGGAGAGTATCAATGATTGGTGAAATTAGTAAGTACTAGTATTATATTTGCAATGACGCGCATCTTAAAATGGGCAACTTTATTTGTGTTAACACTAGATTAGGTACCTGAATAAGTTTTTTACCTTCATAAACATTATTTAATTATAGCAGTTGTGATCGTGTAAAATGATTCGTATTCTTATTGACACTTATTTAGCCTTTAGTATGCAATGTTTTAATTGGCACTTTTGGCGTTTTTACCCAAGTTGGTGACTTGTATATACGTTAGGCATGTTTGCTCTTTTGCATGTTGTATGTTACGCATATTTTTTTTTTTTTTGATAAACGTGGGCTGCTGAGTATAACTAGGATTTACGTTAGATATTTTTTCCAGGATCTGCGTGATTTGCAATTTGGGCTTTGCTGTGACCCCTCTGTCAGTTCAGCATAGGCGCATTTCCCTTGGTGCATTCATGGATGTACTTCTTGGTACATTCAAACACGGTTACAAGTAACCGTTTGTAACCGTGATTCACATGACCATATGTTGTTTCCAGGGAATTAATTTCTCACAGTACGTTTTATTCAGGTGAATGTTTAATCTGTACCTGTATTTGCGAGTTAAAAGCCCATAAACAGTATTCAAAAATAGAGAATATTGAATTATTCAACAAAAAAAGTATTCTGCTAATGGAAGAACCAAAATGTTGTTTCACTTCGTTGTTATGCAGTAGCAAATTTGGATGTTGAAACGCCCTCAACGATAATAGCGCACATAAATCTAAACTGAACTAATGACTTTTGATGCCAGTTGACAGATTTTCGTCTGTTGTAGACACAAGTGCCAATGCTTCAATTTTAACCCCTGTATTGTACAATATTTTGCGACAGAATGTGGGCACACTTTTTTTTAGAATGTTATGAACTATGTACAAAAATGTTATTGAAATTGGTCCAGACATGTCAAAAAGCTCTACCCACTGTATTTAATATAGTTATTTATAACTTATTAAATAGAAAATAACATAATCTAGAAAAAAAATCAAAGACAGTTTAGAAAGAACGCCAGTGTTGGAGGCTGAGATTGAAATTTTTAAAACTAAACAAAAATGTAAGATTAGCACATTAAAGCCTGTGCACTGAAACATGTTTGGGATGCACACTGCGAGAGAAATCTAATCTACTGTATACAAATCATACATACAACTAAGGAACCACATTTAATTGTGTATCTGTAAACTGGCTGATTATGCAAATTTGGCGATTAATATGATCAACCAAAAACACTAATCAGGTCTGGGAGGATTACAGATTATCTTAATGAACCAAGTGCGATTGAAATCTGTTGAGTGATATTCATATTTCTATGAACGAGCAATCAATTGGCTAATCTATACAAATTAGGTATGCAAAATACTGTAAAATACTTTATTTTTAATAGCTGGAATTAATTTTCACCGAAATGATTTTTGGGTGTTTTTTTTTTATGGAATTTATTGTCACTGAATTTTGAAAAGTTAAATGTAAAATATAAGAATAAAGGTGAATTCGCTGGATTATATTATCACCAACTCATCCCTTCAGCAAAAATACAGTATTTTACAGTATTCCAAACTATCTACATATATGCATTTATACGTTGTGGAACAAGCAACTTGTACAACTTCAAATGAGTCATTCTACAACTGGCATATAATACGACTGCAATCAATGTGTCCATGTACATACCAGAATTGATAGTGTATCCTTGCAACTATGTTAATTTTTCTATAGACACTTATTTTTACTATTTGTTGAATTTTGATACATGATCAACCCTATTTTCACCACAAATTCAATAGAATAAAATTCTAGGCAGTTCCAACATCCAACCCACATAATACTTGCATTCCAATCTATGATATAATTATTATAGAATAAGCATCCTGAAATCTGATTCGCTGAAATGGCCCAGCCATGTTAGAAAAGAAATTACAGAGAATCTGTAATTTTACTTTGCATCAAATTTATTATACAAATACAGTTACACAATTTTTTTCATGATTCAAGTATTTTTATTCAATGTTCTGAAAATAAAATCCACAAGTACAAAACTCAATTGTCAAATATCTGCTAACAGATGCATTTCAAAATACCTTGTACTGTATTTGCTCTATTAGTAGAATATGCGCTTACACAAATGGAAGTTACGTCTATGATCAAAAATGCAATTTACATGCACTTCTAATAGAGTAAATACGGTATCAGTAAAAACATACATTATAAAATACCATATATCCGTAAAAATATGAATTAAATAAATGATTATTTCAATATTTCTTGAATTAAACATTTTGTCACGTTAGCTGTTGTAAATACTTCTCCTAAACTTATGCTCATTACATTTTTACTGTCCAATATTGTCACAATTGGACAGCTTGACAAATACATGACAAAAATCACACACAAATTATTGTGAATCCCTGTGTAAAGAACTGAAAATTCTTTACTATTAGAAGAATTGTAGTGCCAATTACGGTAGTCTTGCTGACTACATCAAGTAAAGTATTAATTTCACACATTGTATACATGGGACCCATATTAAATTTTACAACCCAAAGCCTTTAATTTGGGTTTTTAATATTGTAACAAAAGATCTAATATTCTACAAGTTATAAGCATATATTATAATCACTGTAATAAAGTTTTATTGTCAGCCAAATTACCTTGAATACCCTCTCATTTAAACACAACCAACCTTGTACGTAACGTCCAAAGTATGTTCTGTCGCTACAGAAACATTAATAAAGTGGTCCTATGAATTCAAAAGAAAGGTACCGAATGGCGAGCGTAATGCAAACAACTGAAGAGTCTGATGTGCATCTCTGAAGCAAAGTGTACAACTATAGGAAAAACATAATAAACATACAAAGGTTTGCTTTTTCAGCGCATATATTTGATTGAGAGGTTTAATTTATTTTGCCATGCTTTTGAATCAAATTCCAATTCACACTTATTTGCCCATTTCAAATCCAGTAATTCGGAACAAAGTGGAATTCTGACAGAATTATTTCACAGTGCACAAATTTAGACCATTCAATTTTTTACACAATAGTCCCAAAGCTTATGAAATGTTGCGCATAATATACTGATATAATATGCATGTGTCTTAATAGTACTGTTTTTTGACTTGGCAATAGGACATCAATCAAGCCAAAGTCGTGGGTTGAATCGATTTGGGTACATTTCATTCAATTCGATACAATTGACTGTAACCATAACACCATTTTAGCATTTTACTATGTAAATCCATTTGATCAGTAGTCATTATGACAAAAATGCCTATTTAACATGAATTTAACAGATTCTCAAAAGCTATTTGAAGTAATACCTTCATTCATGAATGATTTTATATGGGTCCCATGCAAAAGAACACAGATAAAATTTAAGTGCATGCTTTCGGTATTTTTGCCAACAAATATACATGCAACGTAACATAATTATTGCAGATTTAAAGGCAAATAAATTATTACATAGCATACACTACTACTAAGTAGCCAAATGTACATAATAGTGAATTCAGTGGAATCAATTCTAAACTCCCTAATTGCTGAATGACTGTCAGTGGGAATCATGAACTTATACGGTAAAAATTTAGCGGACTACAGTATTCTTCAGTACTACCTGGGTGATGCGGTTCCATCATCATACAAGTCATTTTCAGTGAAATGTCCTGAAAGACCTCGTTCCTTGATTGCTGCATCTAAGTATCTTTTCCTCCTGTTAAATTTATACACACGTATACGTTCCTTCTCCATTTCTGGATCATCTGGTATCACATCCCAACGCAGAGTTTCATTTGTAACCAAGTTCATATTTTTTATTCCTCCTTCAATACTGTTATTTGAAGGCGACTCTTGCAGTGCATTTTTTGAAATGTAGTTGATATTGTCATTAACACTTTCGTCGTTTGTCTTTGAAGTTATTGGTTCCTCTGGTAGCTCCACTGCAGAAGCATTGGCTGGACATTTATTCTCAATACTGCTACTACTGCTGATGCGTCCATCAGGTACTTTTGATTTAGGTGATGTTGGCTTGTTTGTATTCCGAGCTCCTAAAGCGATACCCTGACCACTTATTAGAGGAGCTAAGTCCTTAGATCTTTTCCCGGCTAGAGAAAACAGAACAAAATAATTAATTTGACAAAAAACACCGTAAATCATCAAATCAGAAACATTCATTGGAACTAAAATTACAGCAGTTTACATTAGTATTAGATTTTAATGGATTATCAAAAAAACAATGACAATTTATGGTCGTACCAAAGAGGTCAAAACTACAGTAGAAGTGTAAATTAATTGCGAAATAATGTGGTGGAGTGGGTGTTGGGGTGTGCGTTACTGTCTGGTATTTGTATCCATCAAATTCATCTAGCTTCTTACTAACAACATAATTCAATCAATACATTTTGCTCGAGTTGTACCTTCTAATTTGCCACAGTCATCACGCAGCACACATGCATTCAGATTTCATGGAAACAAAGTATTACACACACCAATAGTGTATATCTCAGCACATACCAAAACATGTATGTGAACTGATCTCTGCTCCAATGGGAGTCTGGATCGAAACACAGCACACCCCGAGAATGGCTGCCTGAATGAATGCACTGCACAAACTGAAATCACGCCCTTGGTGGTGGATTATTTATATTTACTGATTTATATAACATGGCAATAGAGAAGTGCAGCTAGATTTTTGAGAAACATATGGTCTGATGCCAAGTTAGAAAAGAAGATATGGGTCTGATTAACATGAACATATTCGACATGTGCCGAGGTCCCATGTGAACATAGGTTAGCTATGTGTCACATGAGAACTGCATCGAACTTGACACGCTTCAACCACTATTGTGCTTTACTTGATTTGGACATGCATGTAATTTAGCACAATATACTGTCATACTGTCAAAGAACCCCTTTTCATAAAACAATTAAAGTTATAGTGAATGTCACTAATCTTTTCCACGTTTTGATCAAATGTCACAAATTAATAACAAGTTTCCGACTTATGTAGTTACAGTCAACTTGGTACAGTGCCGTATGAAATAATCCATGGTTGGTAGCTTTTTCATCTATATAGCAAATTAACGTTACCTTGGTGTCAATCATGTCCCCTTTTACAACAAGTGACAGTAGCTAATAACAAGTCATTGTCAATGACACGTCCCCGTTCTGTTCATATTTGAGTGACATATACATTCAAAGCAGATCATGACCGAAATCTCGGACCACTTTCAGTGGTCTGATCCGAAATGCACCTGCATATGTACAACACATTGTACTAAATCTGAACAAAATCCATCCATGCATGACTGAGATCCGGTTTCGGAATTGTGAAAATACGTGATTTTGATGCATTTTTGGCCTTAAAATGGCCATCATTCAGCTATTGTTAAGCGGATCATGAAACAAATGCACATATCTATTTGTGACATGATGTACCATGTGTGTGTGAAGTTTGAACTTGATCAATCCAGACATGTCTTGGATACGGATCCAGAACTGAATTCTTTAAAACAAAATGGCTGCCAGTCGGCCATTTCGAACTTGATCCGAAAAAAAAAAATGACGTGCATCAAGGTCCTGTTATGTTTAATGTATGTATCAAATTTGAACAAAATCCGTCCATGCATAACTGAGATCCGGGTCCGGAATGGTGAAAATGTGCGATTTCAATGCATTTTCGGCATTAAAGCGGCCGCCATTTGGCTATCGTTAATGAGATCATGAAACAAATGCACATACGTATTTGTGACATGATGTACTTTGTGTGTGTGAAGTTTGAACTCGATCAATCCAGGCATGTCTCAGATACGGATCCAGAACTGAATTCATTAAAACAAAATGGCCGCCAGTCGGCCATTTCACACTCGATCCAAAAAAAAAACATGACATGCATCAAGGTCCTATTATGTTTAATGTATGTACCAAATTTGAACAAAATCCGTCCATGCATAACTGAGATCCGGGTCCGGAATGGCGAAAATGTGCGATTTCAATGCATTTTCGGCCTTAAAGCGGTCGCCATTTGGCTATCGTTAATCGGATCATGAAAAAAATGCATGTGCATATGTCCCATATAATGTGTGATGTATGAGTGAAGTTTGAACTTAATCGGTCCATGCATGTTTGAGATACAGGTGATCACGGACGCACACAGGGCAAACCATAAGTCCCCGTTTTCGGACTACGTCCAAACGTGGACTAATTAAATTACAAACTTTATGACTTGACCCTAACATTTTCTTAGGGCATGAACTTTTTCTTAAATTACAACCGATTTTTTATTAGAATTGTATCATATTAAAAAATCTTATTTTAGAATATGACAATAGTGGCTTGATTAATACTTTAAATATGTGATTTTAAATTCCTAAAATCATGACTGACCTAATAATGCTAAAACCAGCAATAAACTATCATAATCCTGCCCTACAACTCATGAAATCATGTATTGCGGACACATTTTAAACAACTCTGTTCAAATGGTTCAATCAATGTTTGGGTGTGTTCAGCACGGCTAACACCACTGAATAGAAATCCACATTATGTGCATGCAAGTAGAGTGGGCGATTTATAATAACAGAATAATTGGCTGAACCACAACCACCTCCAAGTCAAGCTTAGTTGGTAGGGAATTCAAAACAAATAAACACGACATAGCATATCATATAAATAAACACTATAAAAGAAAGGTAAATCCTATTAAGTACTGAACCAGAAAAAAAAGAATTACATGCAGTCCAGGACCTGTGGGCTCCGAGTCGCTAGAGAGAAGTTATAATGATCAATGACTCCTATTCACTGAACAGAGGCATTATTGATTTCTTATTTACACAGAGGGCCGTAACTTTCTCAGCTTGAATCGCACAACTTTAAATGAAGAATGCAAATATAGTACTAAACAATATTGTCCATTATAAAAAAATGTTGAGTTTTTCATGGTTACCTGCAGATCAGACAAAGTTGCTAGTCTTGAAGGTAAAACATTTTTAATCACATATGAAAAACACCAAATACTGTACAATTTTCACTGGGTTTAAATTTCACTGATTTACCATTTCAGGCATATTCAGTGGGTTTTAAATTCACAGTTTTATTATTTAGATAATGTGTTCTGTGCTAAATTTTACTTATTCATTTAATTTAGCACATTTTCCAGACAGTGAATAATTAACCCTTTTACAGTATACAAGTTCATTTTAACACATTGAATACCACACAGTTTGTATTCCACATAACATCGGCAGCTTATGGCGTCTACATGCATGGGTGTCAATGTTTTAAGTGAAAATTCTTGACAAAAGCAGTAAAAATGGGTATATTTTGGACGATGAAAAGGTATCTTAGAGAACAAGTTGATACGATACAGGATACAAACACAATGACGTAGGCCGATTTTTGTATAATACACAACATACTTAAAATCAACAAGTGGAAAACTGTCAATAGAATCTAGTTAAATTTTATTTTAAGGTGAGTAATTTTCCATTGAAAAGTTTTCTTTGATGCATTCACGTTGATATAGAGGCTTTTCAAACGTCTATAGGTAAAAACTTTTGTTGTACATCCACAAGGTCATTTTGGTTCTCGTACAATTGAGTTATATGTGGATAGACAGTTTTTAGCGCACGCACAGAAGTTAGCTGGTAACTGTTACTTTGGTCTCTTGAGAAATGATCTTGTACAGCATTTGGCTGAAAAAAATCTGCATGTTTAGAATAAATACAAAGCAAAGTCAATATGCAGGTTTGAAAGTCTCTGTTTACTTGATCTACAGAAGAATAACTTTTTTTATAAAGATATAAATTGATGCTTACATGAACGTGTATTTTTCCCAGTTCGTAAAGGCGCACCCATTCGTGGTGCTGAGGATTTATCCGAATGATTTGATCTGTCGGCTATTTTCGCAGCAGCCATAATGCAAGTCCACTCTGCACAGTTACCAAGACTGTCCGGCTCAAGAAGTTCATTTTACACTCCACAGATCATGAACACAATGCCAATGAGTATAAGGTATGTGACCAGTGGGCGTGACGCAATGACGCTGGACGAGAGTGACATAGGGATAAGGTATACGTTGCTATTAGAGACCATTGTCGTCTAATAGGCTTGTGAAGCAATTACATTACATATCTGATATAGCATGCATATACTTCCACATTATTCACATTACACTATGTTATGATACGGCATAATACTGTACCCCTTTTGTTCATTCCTACCTCTGAATTGATTTGTCACAAAAGTTTGTTCATGGTGGGAGGGTGTGAAGTGTCTTAATCTGTCATTGACCTAGAACACAGCCGTTTAAATATCGACAGAGACAACTTTGTTTTCGCCTATTAGTAATAGATATTCTGTCACTTTTCTGTTCAATGGATGTCATGGTAAATTATAATAAGACAGAAACCAGAATACAAGTTTAAAAACTGGCTAACAAAGATACAGCGCCCTTGTTCGCTACTACAGTGCCTGCATACAGTTAGTTTGATAATGTATTCTTTTTTCTCCCAAATATGATAACCTGTTGAACTATGTACAAGGTCAGCAGCTATTTCCCCCACAAGACACAAATGAAGAGATTTTACTTATTTACCTAGTAGAAATATAGAAGTTTGCAGTAGATACATATTTATTTCCATGGCAACCACCTGTTTAGTTTATATACCAGTCACCATGTAAATAAAGTAACTGTAAACCATACTACAAAAGAAGAATTTTCACCTATGACAAAATAGCCGCATAATCATAAACAGTTTTTCAAATTTTTTTATCAAGAACTGAATTCACATTTGGACTAAAATTCACAAATAACAGAAAAATACATAAAAATTTGCAAACTGTTGCACCAAGATTTAGTTTAAAAGGTTAAATATTAAAATTTAAAACATTGATCTTTTATTCCTTCAACGATTATGTTTAAAGGGGGATGGTTGTTGGGTCCCACGCAGCATATACGACATGTCTAACATACACGATCTTTTACACATACCGGTAATTAAAATATGCGCTGCATGACTAAAAAGAAAAAAGAAATATTCTCCCAATCAAAATGTATTTAGTTTCAAAGCAGAGCATGCAACTAATAACAAGTGTTTACATATGT